CCTCAGTACACCGTGGGTCTACATATAGGGTTTTTCAACAAGAACTTTGTTTTCTAAAACAAGATAAAACAAAAAATTTGATGAAGATGATTAAATTTTTTATTGAATTACAAAGAGAAAAGTTCGGCAATTATGAATGAAAAATTATATCTTGCAAATGTCCACCACGAGCACGCTGACAGACGTCGATTCTTTCATCAAAGTTTTTAATCACTGTTTGGCAAAATGGCGGGACTATTTCGTTAATCACATCACGGATTTTGAGTTTTAAGGCTGCAATCGATTCGATTGTCCCCGTATACACTCTGTCCTTAACATAACCCCACAAAAAATAATGTAGTGGTGTTAAATGACATGATCTGGCTGGTCACTTAACAGCTGAGTTCAGTGAAATTATGCGATCGGGAAATTTGGTTTGCAATAAATTGATCGTTTCATTGGCTGTGTGACATGTGGCGCCGTCCTGTTGAAACCACATATCAGTGATATCCACGTCATCAATAATAGGCCAAAATTCGTCATTTGATGGTTCTGGATAACCCCAATTGTTGAGAACGTCACAGAATTGACAAATTTGGATCTGCCTCAACACTGTGACTCACGGCTGCGATGCTTTCAATTGAACGACTCGGTCGAACACGCGTTGGTGTTGGCACATTTTGTATCGAGCCTGTCGACTCAAATTGAACGCCCAAATTCTTAATAGCGGTCTCAGAAGGACGATTATGTTGTCCGAAAATATCACGAATTTGACAAACTGTAACTGTAACAGAACCACTATTTTCATAGTGGATTTTAATTATTTTAATTCGATTTTCAAGCGAAATTGAATTCATTGTAACAATTGCCAATGCATCTTCTACGAAAACGCCAAAAAACTAAATGTGAAAACTATCATATTGTTGGTGTAGCCACAATTCAAAAACAAAGTTCTTGTTGAACAACCCTATATATATCACTAGGTTGATAAAGCGCGGTACCGAGAAAATAGTGGTATCCCTTTTGTCTTGCAGTAATTGCCAACACTACTTTCTATGTCATGCGCTGTCCTCTCAAGCTTCAATATTTATGACATCCGGAGTTTTTGGCGGGATTTCATCGAGTGCGGTTGGCGTCTTATTTGAATTATTATTAAATTCGTTCATAGTTTATATTGTGAAATAAAATTGGTGTGACTTTGTGTTACAACCGTCGGCGCAACTGAAGAATTAGTGGTATCTTTAAATTATACGTTATTCCGGTCAAGTGGACGCGAGTACTTTATTGTAGTGTTGACTACCTCACAGAAGCTAATCGAAAAAACCAACTCAATAGATTTCGTGCCAAACACTCCTAGAAACATTAGAATGCGTCACACCGACATTCTACTGTAAAAAAATATTATTAAAAGTTAAGACTAGGCTGTATGGGCATTTTTCCCTTTGCCTTCCCTGAAAAGGGAAAATCTTCAAAAAAATATGACTACCAAATATTGTTTTTAGTTTGAATTCCTAATACTTACGAGTAAAATATAACACCATTAGCTTTATTTGTAATTCCCGAATTGTTAGTGAACTTTCGGTAGGCACAGTACGGTATTTTAATACACTTTTCTTGCAAAAAATGCCTGCGGTATTTTAATTATCAACGTCAAACTGCTACTATGTTTAGACGAACACTGATTAGACAAGACATGATGATATGGGAGTTCGCTCATTCGAGTGTAGAAATATTTCGGTGAGGTCAGACTGTGGTAAGAGCGTATCTAACGATTCAAATCTTAGTATGGAAATAAAAAAATGTGTGTGTCAGCTCCGACGCAAGACAGGAGTTTACTCCTTAAGTTCGATAGTCTAACCAGACGCAAAAAGAGTTTATTTAACTTAAAAAAGATTGATACTGTATGAAAGGGTAAATTAACAAATTAATGAAAATAATATACATATATATATATATATATATATATATATATATATATATATATATATATATTCATTTCATATACATTTATTATAACTAATCGACGAAATATTTTACATTAAACTTTTTACAATAGTCAATTTCAGATGTGCATAAATATATCATTAGGAATGTTGATAAATTATGTAATTATTATTATCAGACTATTATCATTTTTTTAAATATTAATTAAATCAACATTGTCTGCATTATTAATTACAGTGACGAGTGGTTTATGGTAACTAAAATAAGACACATGGACGTTCGTAGATACGTGGTTCACGAATCTTGAAAATACCGCACCAATGGTTGTACCATACCTCGTTGTCCCCATTGCTCTATCAGAAACAATATCTAAATTCAGTTCAGATTTTAAAAATTTTATTAATGTCATTCCGTCATCTTTGTTTGTCAAAGTTGCGCGACATAGGATGCGCACCAAAAACGTAACGAGGTCATTCATCGATAGATTTTACTCCTCACATTTTTCTCATAACTCCAAAAACTTAAAATTACTGAAATACAGCTGTTCAGGTTTCGCAGCCTTTTCAGGTCTGCATCGTCAGAATAATAATTTATAATTAATAATTTATTCTGAAGATGCAGACCTGAAAAGGCTGCGAAACGTCAATAAATAAATAAAGTTTCGTGCATTAACCCGTAAAAACTAGTTTTAATTAAATGAGTTTTTGGGATTCATTGTAAATTTTCATATTATAACTTGAGAAAGCTTCCAAATCCATCAAACGGTATCGAGAAATTTCCCCCTTTATTAAGTACCTATCAACTGACCCATCCATCAATTTAGAAATTTTTTTTAAAAACTAGAGAATAAATGGTGAATAACATAACGCGCACAACATTCTTAACGATTCTTTAATAAAACATTAATTATTCAAAGAGTGTTGTCACCTTTTTCGTAATCATGAGCGACCCTTTCTGCTTGCGCTGTAGAATACAAATTGGGAAGACTTTTTTCGCAGGGGCTATTGAATGTTAGTGTGGAAACGCCTGATCGTTTACTCTACGACAAACATAATAAATCTGTTACATTAGATACCGCCGCCCGCAACTTCTTCCGAGTCAACTTTAGTTTTTTGAAAATCCCTCATGAACCTATCACTTTTAAACAAAGTTTATTTTTAAGTAATAAACTATATATATGCTATATTTCATCCAAATCCATTCAGCCGTTTTTACGTGATTGAGTAACAAACATACAAACTTTCACATTTATGAGTAGGATATGTCTAAGTAATTTTAATATAATATAGGTAGGTACTTGAATATCTAAGATATCGTGTATCCATCCGTCAATTCAAAGACATAATTACTTTCCCATTCAGTTAATTTAGGTACATACCTACTTAATCTTGATGAATTAATTACAAGTGAGCAATATGTTATAATAATACCTACAACAAATTGGCATGTTTTTAATTAAGACCTACCTACTTCTTGATCGAAACTGCAATCGTGCCTTGGTTCTGGCATGAACGGTAATAATGGCAAATGAGTGCTCCAGCCTCGCCGAGCTTGATTGATAGAGAGATACCTCGTATCGTAACGGCTTTAATTCAATCGGGGGACTAATAGGCGCCAGTGTTTAGCTGTCACTTGTCAAAGTCAGGCTCTCGTTCGTCGTTAAAGTTTGGTTACACTGCGGGACATTGTCGAAATTTCTGTGTAAAACGAAAAGATCCTCAGAATAACAAAAAAAAAGGTTTGGTTAGTTGCTTGTATGGACAACACGCATTGTTTACGATATAAAATTTTGTTTCCGCTAAATATGAGCAATCATTGATGTGAGGATATGCAAGTTTTATTTCTATCATTCTACCTATGGTTCATCATAGCGGTACTAAGATGAAGTTTTTATTATACGATACGCCACAAACTACTCCATCCTACCTGATATGAAGTGTAAGTGGAGTCCAGTAGCGAAGATCGATGATGCGACAGAAGGTGTGCCGCTCCAGTACGCCTACGGGTACGCCCAAGTAGCCCTCCGCAGCGGACGGCGGGCGGTACGGCGGGCGGTACGGCGGGCACCAGGCCGCGTAATCAGCCCCCATACGCGGGCCATCCTGCGCACGTCTGCGGGGTCCCCGCAATAGCTCGGGAGACCCCTGCCGTGGAGCCCCGGCGAGGCCGGGAAACTGCTGGGTGCGGAATCGCGGAAGAATCCCTAAACGGGGACCCCGCGGCTTCGCATTAAGCAGTGTAGAAGGTATTCGCAGGACTTTTAGCGGATATTGTGCAGTAAAGCGCCCGTAAGAGTTGCGGGGTCCTCGGTGGTCAGCCACTGGGGGGTCCGTAAGACTTGCGGGAGCCAGATGGGATGGCGGTGTGCCTCTTAAAGGCGCCGTATTCACTAGCAGAAACACAACACCACCAAAAGGTAGTGTTATTTTATTGTGGTGTTCTGTAAGGTGGAGGATGCTTCCCCAGACGGGCCTCCAATTGGAGCAGTAAATCCGCTGTGTCTTTCTTCATCTGCCAAATATTTGTGGTTTTCAAACAATTAAATATCGCTTAATTTTCTTATCGCTTACACTATGTGTAAGGCTCAAAACCAGATATATCAAAATATCTCTGAAGACCAGAGTTCCATCCCCGGATTCACTCATGTAGTAAAAGAATTTAGATACGTGCTATTGTCATAAATTGTCTTAAATTTATTAGGTTTTTGTGGTGAATATGGTAATCAGGGTGAAAGAGCATAAAAGGTAGGACAGCTTTAAATAGATGTGTATACACTTTCCGACACTTTACACATTTGGCAATTGCAAAGAAATTTATATAATACAAGCCTTTATGATCATTTCCATACAAAAAATATTTCTGATGTGCCAGTAACTCCAGCTATCTATGAGTGACTACTCAAGGATCCTAAATTATACTTAGTGCAGTGCTCTTAAGCAATTTGTAAGTCGTAGTTTTATCAATTAAAATTATTGATTTGCATGGTAAATTTAAAATTTCATTGAGCTTTGCCTATGTTTTATTGTGACGTATCCATCATCTTCTTGTCATGTGCACATGGCGTTTCACGATAAACCTTCTCCTTAGTCACCACCAACATGTCACAACATCTTTAATTTTCGCATGTAATATCAAAACCTAATTACAGAACTGCAGTAAAACATAAATTCCTTACTTCAGTAACAAAAAATTATTAGCGAGAAACACTCACCTACGCCTTCAAATAGCGTATTGAAAATAATAGAGTACAATGAAAAAAAACATGAAAGAATTCGAATATGATTTCGAAAAAGCGTTCCGCATTACAACAAAAGCCCTCCACTTAAATCGAGCCCATCCTTTTATTGAGAGGAATCTATTTTGGTGCTTTCAATTTCTGCTTATATTGACGCTGTCAGTGATGACTTTTGTATTCACTTTCAACTCCCTGTTATTTTACGATATTCCAGCAGGTGAAATCGCAGAAGCAAGCAAGAATGGCACAATGGCAATCGTGTCCCTTACCATCACTTTTAAATATACGTTTTTACTTTACAATCAAAACTACATCAAACGCTACATTGCCATCATAAATAAGGACTATGAACTGTCAAAGGGTTTCGTTGCTGAAGAGAGGGCCATTGTTATAGACTATTCGAGAAAAGGAGCAAAGGTTTCTCTATATTGGCTGGTTGCGACAACTGCTACAAGCATTTTGTTCCCCGTAAAAGCTTTAGTCCAAATGGTTTACTATCATTGGGAAGATGAATTCAGATTCGTTCCAATGTTTGATATGAGGTAATTTTTCCAAACACAATCATATTTAGTTGAAGTGCCTTATTATAAATATGTGTTTAATAAAGGGGTACCCAAGCGTAGGAGTGATAGAACCGGTGAAAAAACTGGAGCTGAATATAAATCATAGTAGGTACACCGATCTGTCCTCGTATTTTATTTCTGCTATTATATCTGTATCGGAACAGTTTTTAGGGTCGCTACATATTCGTATATAACGGAAAATACGTCGAGTGTATCATCGTTGTATGTTCGGCGCACTAACGCATCTTTGGTTGGGTGTGAAAGGTTGAATGTTTTATTGTATATTTGTCTGTTCTGGCGTTACGCGACTGATAGTATGCCCTTAAGCTTTGCCGGCCGCTTACCATCAGGCGGGTCATATAAAATTGTTTAAACTTGTTTACGTTGCAAACATACATAAAAATGATCATTTTATTAACTAAGTATTTTTACATTATAAATTAAGTGTGTACATAGGCTTTTTTTGTTCTTTTCTTTAATGCAATTCTATTATTTTTTGTAGGTATCCGACTACAATAGAAATAATGAAAAATGTACCGGCAATGTTTTGTCTGCTATTCCTATTGTGCCTAATGTTTGACGTTTATGCTACCACTATGTACGTAGGTTTTGACCCCTTGGTTCCAATATTCTTAACGCACATCTGTGGTCAGCTGGACATCCTGAGCCAGAGGATCATGGATATATTCTCGGACGAATCGAATTTAAACAGTCAAGAAGTGAATTATAAATTGAAATGTATTAATGTAACATTACAAGATCAATACAAGTAAGTTTGAAACCATTGATAATGCAATAGCGATAGCCGACGACTCTCTTTGCGTGTAGATTGCTTCACCCCAGATTAGGGTTTCTTACCATTTAGGAATTTCAAATGTCCTGACAAAAATCTTGACATTTCGAAAAAAGTCCGGACTTTTTAGTCACAACATAGTTCCATTACTCACTTAGTTACAATGTATATAATAGTATTTAAATCATTATGTCAATTTATTATTCATATTGAATGTCAATATTTGTTATTTAAAAAATCCGGACAGAAGGTAACCCTACCCCAGATGCTAGTCTACAGCCTACAGTGCGACCAACATCTTGTGGCTCGTAGAGGTCATAGACAGGGCGCCACAGTAAAATGAGGATTAATATATAACGTAAAATCTTCTCAACTGTAGGGAACGTTACATTATAATTCAAAATAATTCGGAAAGAGTAAAAGCAAATATAAAAAAAGTTCACACCTTAGTTAAACATGCCACATGATCTTTGGTCGCACTGTAGGTGCACTAGAAGATCATTCGCCGATCGGTTCAGTCTAAAGCCGTATTGACGATTGTTGATCAGACAGAGAGTGATCCTCTGGGTAGCCGAGTATGGACAAGTATAGAAAAAGGCATATTCTCAACTGTTTCTCCTGACAAGAATTATATTTAAAGTTTTATTAATTAATAAATAAAAATTTTCAGCATGATAAAAGAAATAAAAAGCAAGTTTACATTTTTATATGAGTTTACTATGAAAACTACCACTATTCTGCTACCACTGTCGATGTTCCAAATAGTTGAGGTAAATTCACATTCAGTCATTGATCGCAATTCTTCTGTAGATGACTATGTTCTCCGTGTTTACCTCTGTTAACCATGGAATTTATATATCCAACGGTAGTTAGTTAGATACCTATATAACTTCCTTTTTTAAAACGTATAAATAACAAAAGAATAGTAGATGCGGCATTGGGGTTTCAATAAGCAACCTCCAGTAAAAGTTAAGAATAATCTGGTTCCGTTACTAAACAACAGTTTTTCTTATTGTCTTAATAATAAATATTTATGCAACAAATCTGTATAACAACTGTTACTAAGGCAAAGGAACCAAATTATTCTTACCCTTAAATAAATGATAAGCCTCATCAATTGGTAATATTGAATATAAAAGTTTATTTAAGTTGTAATAAGTTTATTACAATTGATGTTTAAAAAATTAAACTAAAACAGATTATTTAAAATATATGTAAAAGTGTCTGAAATAACTATACGGTATAATCTAATATATAAAATTCTCGTGTCATGGTGTGCATAATTGAACTACTCCGAAACGGCATGCATATTCAGTAAGTTTGAGAATAGAACAACATCTATTTTTCATCCCCCTAAATGTTAAGGGTGGTCCACCCTTAATTTTTTTAGCTTTTTGGTCATTTTTTTTTGTTTTTTTTTATGATACATCGTACAAAATACACACAACCCTAAATTTTCACCCTTCTACCACCGACCCCTATTTTTTCCATATTCGCTGGGACAGCTAGTATAATATAATACACTATAACTAATATAACTAAAATTTGATGTTAAATAATATAATAAAAAAAGTATAAAATATATAATGTATGTTTTGCTAGAACACAAAAATATTTTGCTTGTGCATACGTAATCTTTTGCGCGGACGCAGGCAGCGACCGCTTGAATGTGACCGTTCTCGGTGGGTGGGGCCTCCGCTTGTTCCTGTACGGCCGTCGCAGTCGAATCTTAGCCTCTTAGCTTTGTATGCGTGTCGCTTGTTCTCTTACCGAACCTAACGATCTCGACTTCTTATCAATCCCTGCTAAGCTTGAATGTAAACTTTTAAGCTAATAGTTACTGCTCTGTATCATCTCCGTTGTTCACTCATTTGCACCTTCTCTCATTGCATCAATAGTGCTTATGTATTTTATTGAGATTGCATATTGAAAACAATAAACCGTGAGTATATGGAACTGTGTTGCACTCATTTGACACCAAGACAAGAAGGAAAATTTTCGTAAAACATTCACGGACGCTTCTATTGCTTTATGAGCATTGCTCATCATAAATCTTGAGTAAAGATAAGATGTCAAGCAAATATATTCATAATTTAGTTTTTAAAGCTCTTTAATTGGTAATTATCATTTCCTTACAGGATTTGCAAAGAAGAAAATTAAATTTGGAATTCATATCGTTTTTCTTTGCCACCATTCTACATTTTTATATGCCCTGCTATTACAGCGATATGCTTATGGACCGGGTAATGTCTTTATAAGTAGGCACTTTGTTATAAATTAGTTAACGCTTCCAATTTACTACAGGTAAGTGCATGTGCATTTTCTATACGCTGAGTAAAGCTTGTAAGTTACGGTAACGCCCTTTTCGTATTTGTATTTTTAACAGATCTTAGTAGCAAGGACATCACCCTACCTGTCGTTTAGTATGGGTGAACATGACGGCCATGGGCGCCGGCAGAGTGGTGCAAGGGGATGCACTTGCACCCTCCTGAAAATAAACTACATAGAACTATACTAGCGGAAAACAAAATTTATTATAAAATTTATTATAAATTAAATTTATTATAAAAATATATCTTAAAATACGAGAAATTATATATTAAAACATAACAAGAAATAATAATATATAAAATATCAGGTTTGGTTGGGGTCCCGCACCACTGGCTCATAGTTTCTCCCATAATTGAGAGCTTACATGCGTCCCAGATATTGAGAGCCATGAAATATCCCTGTTGGATCTGATTTTAACGACATAACCAGACGAATTCAAGGCGATGGTTGATGTCCTATTAGGGTCGTCATCATTGCCTGATTCGTTCTAAAATCCCCTTTGCGTGTCCCATACGCGCATCAGCTAATGATTCACGCAGAGTCTGACAATATACAACAGCCATTGGTTAAACAAGGTCAGTGTAGATCATGCTGCGTTTGCTAAATAACGGCATATAGTTCATAGCATTCGGCTAAAATGTGTCAGGCTCCGAATTTAAAAGGGAAAATGCAATAATTAATGCCGCTTTAAGGTTCCACAAGAAGGCAAGAGAGACCGGAGGCACAGCATATCAGGAGAATAGGCCAGAAGCTGAATGGTTTTTGTTCCGGGAGCCGGGCATTTTGATCGCTTACCAAAACTGCGTCAGGTAACTTTTGCCAGGTTTCCATTTCGCCGCTATGTAAACCGCTATGAAACCTGTAATAGCGCACTATGGCTCACAGTGCGAAGGACAAGGCCGACCTTACTGGTCAAACTGTTCGCCTCCAACTCGAGTCGGACGATGTCCCAAGCTACACCTCCAATAATCCCCCATTGTGGAAGTTCTATGCCAGATATCTGCATCACCCAGCGGGCAGTTCGGCGAGGACTTATGCAGTTAATCGTTTTCAAGTCGTGTGGGCCTGCTGGCACCCCTTCAGTGATACTCAATATATATGCCCCCGAGCCTACCCTCGTCGCTTGTATCGCCTTTCCTATAAACAAAACTCCCTTCCAGCTTCGTGGAAGATTGCTCACGTCTACCCGATTTCCAAAAGAGGGTAAACCAATCTGACCCTTCAAATTACAGGCCCATGGCGATATACTGCATGCTCTCTCTCATAAGGTAATGGAGTGGGTCATCAACCCCGGCCTTTTGAGGTGCCTTGAGAGCATCAACTTAACGACGTTTGTCGATTTTCGACACGGTCGTTCGGTTAGTGATCTTCACGTTTCTCTCACTCACCGTTGGGTTGAAATCGTCGAGGGTAAAGCTTCACCTTTACTCTCGACGGCTTCAACCCTTAAAGCGATCGTTAAGGACTTTGAGAAAAAGAGAGAGTTCTGTCATTGAACGCTTTTATCGAAGTTGTCAACTCACGGGCTACCTAAGGGGCTTTGCAAGTGGGTATCCAGCTTCTTGAATCGCAGAAGCAATAAAGTCGTTATTGACGACTGCTGCTCCGATCCTATTACTATAAACGCTGGAGTGCCACATGGTTCGATGCTCTCCCCGATGCTATTAATCGTACATATCATGACATGCTGTCTGTTCCTGGCATGCATTGTTATGCGAATAACAACACGTGTGTCGTGCGGTACACCGGCCAACCAAATATCCCTAGACCTGTGGTTTGCGGCGGTCTAAACTTGTGTCTGAAATGGAGGGTTTTCTTGAGCGAGTCTCCGATTGGGGAAGTCTGAATCTCGTCTCGTTCAACCCTAGCAAGACACAAATTTGCGCATAAGTTAGCGCATAATAACAAGGATTTATTTTTTGTTACTCCACAATTCCAAGGTATTTTACTACATGTTTCGGCTAGCGTTGGGATACCAGGTGTTAATATCTCGTGTGATGTCCAGTATAAAAACCATTAAGTGTGCAAGACCAAACTGGCCTCAAAAAAGCTGTGAGATTTTAATTGGTCCAAGTAGTAATTCACGTCTAAGCAAAGGCTTCTGCATTACAAAGCGTAAATTAGACCCCACGGGGGGTATATCACATCTTTGTGTTGGAGCTTCCAAATACCAGTTGGGGCCCCTCGATAGTCGATGTCTATGATTCTAAACCAGCGGAAAATCTAGAGCCTTTAGAACTACGCAGAGATTTTGGTTGCGTATTTTACAGACTTTTATAGTGAGCGCTCCTAAGAATTGTTTGATGGTTATATTTACAGAGCCAGAAGCTCCGGGATGCAGTGTATGCGTGTGGTTGGGAGAAGCGGCATAACGCACGCGCACGGAAAACTATACTACTAATGCTGACCAGGACTACTGTGCCCCTTGCTTTAAGCACAGTGTTCTACCCTATATGCTTGGATACTTTTGCCGAGGTAATACTCCAGCTGCATAATATGAGCAACAAAACTTATAAACATTAATTACTCTTATGAACATTAATTTTACTTCCATTTTTAATTGGTGTACTTTTTAATAAAACTTAACGTTTTATTATTTCTGCCAAAGAATAGTCTATGTGCTTGCTTAATAGTAGATTATGCACTAAGGGAATAAAGCAGTGTCGTATGTCACAGGCACAATTTTGAATCCTGAGCGAAAATTAATATTGTGAGAATCCTGAATGAAGCAAAGTATTCAAATCTGACCAATGCAATGACACTCTTATCCCCGATGATACTTTACACACCTACTAGCAACGATTCTGGCATGATTCTCTACACCTAAAATTAAATATGATACTAAGCTTCATTCTCTATACAAAATGAAAAGGAGAGACTGATGGAAAATTTATTTTTGAGTTAAGAAAATCATGCCATAATCGACACAACTGTGAGATTAAATAAAAAAGATAAATTCAAATAAGAGTAAGCGTATTAAATAAAAAATTAAATGTTAAGTCCATTTATCGAAACTAATGCAATAATTTGATGCAGATTCCGATTTTTTTTATCCACATTTTTACTATACAGTGGTGGTCATATAATGAACGCTTAATAATACAAAGCCAGTAGTACTATGTTTTGACTATAATTCCAGTGCATGGTTCGTTTCTAAACATACTGTAGAAAGGAAAAATAAAGTTGCCGGAATACTGGCTGGACAAATAACTAAGAACGAAAATAATTTGTTCTTTTTTGCATCATTTTGAAAATAGAATGCGATATTTGTCATTACAATTTTTTATTGAATTTTTACGTTATTAATAATATACGTTTTCTGCTATTATTTTTTCATTAAAATGGAAAAAAATATATCTCACGACTCTACTGTTAGAGAAATAATAATAAATCTGCGTGCTCGTAATTGAATAATTGCTGAATACTTTTTATACGACTAAAATTTCACAATTTCAAATTTCCACGCCGCTTTGCTTGAAAAACTAATCAACTAACTGAATTAATAGTATTACTAAGTTTTTCCTTCGTTCTTAATTATTTGTCCACCTTCCCACCTGTTGCTATGAAAACAATATTTAAATGACAGTATATTAAACAATAGTAATATAATATTTTCCTTCTAAAGGTATTAAATGACAGTATAGCCAATATTTGTCAAGAAGTAATACTTTTTTGCTATGAACTTATAAAGTGTTGTCTTTGCTTGTAGCGTTCTTAATTATATGACCACCACTGCATTTTCATTTTATTAACTCTGCATAAACTTTTATATTTTTAATCATTGGATTTTTAGGGAAAAATTTCGTTAATAATGTTTTGAGCTTCCATTTCTATATCAGAGTCGCTATTCTCGAGAGTTGCTTAGGAGGGTCTTTTTCACGGTTTTTTTATAATATGATTAGAAATTAACAATTCGCGGTAAAAATCACACATCGAAAATCACCAATTTCCTCTCTAGATATTAAGTTCCGTAGACAAAAAAATATATTTTGAATTGTTCATTTTCAGATGTGTCG